AATGTTGTGTAAATATAACAAATGTATCAATGGTAGAAGTAACTGGCCTGGAAAATAAAATGAAAAACAAAAAAAAAAAAAAACAAAAAAGAAAAATTAAATGAGAAAAAAAAAAGAAAAAAAATTCAGATTGAAAAATGAAAAGTTGTTTAAAACTTTTAAATTAATTTTTACATAGTGCGATAGTAGTTGCATTTTACAAAAGGCATAACTAAAAAGGTTAAGAGAGGTAACGAAAAATTCTTGCGATTACACATATTAAAGTTACAAATGTATTTAACAAGTACAAACAAATGATTTAAAAACTATTTGAAAGACTCGAACTATAATGATCTTCTTATGCACAACGATACAATTCTTTACTCCAATCAATCAATCAATTATGTCATCGCATAAAGATTCTTGCATTTTTACTTTTACTTTATCACCGGATATTTCTATTTAAAGGCCGAGTAACGGCTGCTAGCACTAAACTAAAGAAAAAAAACTTAATTACTATAGTTCTGCTCATTAAAATAAAACAGTAACGCACTCCCCGAGAATATTAGTAACGAAAACAATGCAATCTTCCATCGACAACTTGCACGATCGACCAGACGGCACATGCAAAAGTAATTCTTTAAATTTACATAAATAAAAGAAGAGGAATTTTAAGAATGGATTGATTTAGCAATGCCATGGCTAACTCCATAAGAAAAGCTTTCGCCGTCTTTGAAAAAGTGTGTTACAATTAATGCAAGCAATTCGGAAGTAGTTCACTTCACAAGTCTTTCTTTCCTCTTCCAAGCAAATAGTTATTAAGCAACGAGTAAAACAGATAAAAGCTTGAGATGTGAACTACTCAGTGAGTGGGTGTGAGTGAGTCGATAAAGGCATAACACTTACCGAGTGGACACACAGACTCAGTAGGGTGCAGCCATCTGCCTGTATTATTCCCTTCCTTCATTTATTGTGAATAGGGTCATCCCTAGAGGGATTGATCATTTTAGAAAAACAGATATATAGTCACGAGTTTAATATCAGCCAAATTCCATAGAACAACAATTTCCAAAAGCCAGCTGAAATGTATACAACAACGCTTATTGAAGGTTTATAACATACCTTCAAGAAAGAATCATAGTTCGGTATACATGGGTATATATATATAGATATATATATATATATATATTACATCGTTCGTTCACGCATTCTTGCGTCAAACATACAAGTTTACAAAATATTTTGATGAAACTTCGTATGCGGATTTGTATACCACCTACTGAAAATGGAAGCCAAAGTTTACTGCCCCTCTGCTTTTATAAGAAGCCGTGTATAGAAGAAGTCTTTTGAAGAAAAAAAAATTTACAATTTTTAGAGTTTGTCAATAATAAAAATCGGTGGGGGATAGTATTTTGGTGTATATGGAATGAATATTTGAATGATAAACATTTCTCAAATTCCTTCCAATGCCAATCTGCTTGCAAAGCATAAGTCTTCTCAAGGTAATAAAATTCAATTTTCATCATTTTATAAAGAAAATTGTCAAAGAAAATGCTTTCATAGTTAACGTTACGTTGTGCTTCTTCATCATTTTCTCATACTTTGTCATGCTGTTTGTTTGATTTTGTAATGAATTTGATGTTCTGAAGAAATAGTCTCACAACGAAATGTTGATTTTAGTATAAGACGAGTGTTTGTTAAGTTCCGAAAACAAAATACTTCTCACTTGTAAGAACTTGATGACGTTGCTCCGAATACGATTATTTTTTGAAACACTCCCTTTGCAAACATTTTAAGGCGCAACAACTTGCTATTTTTAATAATTTATGACGAAAACAAATGGGAAATTATGTTATTAGGTAATCCAGAAATTTCTTCCGTTTTTCACTATGAAATCCAATAATTGTTTTTTACATAGGGGAATAAACTTGTTGTTGTCCTACCAGAAAGCGGTAAAGGTTTCATTGGAAATTTTGAGAGCGAAATTTCGCAAATCAATTTTGCAACAGGGCTTAGTTCCACACACAGCGCATAGTTGTCTATATGCTGCTGCATTACTTTGATCTTTCACGTCTTTCTTACGTTTCGTTACTCTAATCCAAGCGATTACTTGGAAAGTTTTTTTGCGAAATAAATGTAAGAGTGTTGTACGCAATCCTCACGATTTGCTTATGAACTTGAAAAAAGTTACTTTACTTACTGCTATTAGGGAAAACCGGAAGAAATTTTTGGACTACCTAATAAATGAAGAAGTAAAGGTATTTTACAGTCTTCGTTGCATGAGTTCAGGCTCTCAATTTATTTTTAATTAACTTAAAGTTTTTAAAAGAAGTAAAAAATTTGTGAAAAGTCGTTCCCATATAAGTAAAGACTTATCTTGTAATGAAATCCTTACATAATCAAAAGACTTAAGAGGCATCAAGCCACTTAATACGATCACTTAAAGCGACAACACTTGAGTTTCATTCCAATATATCTTCGAAGTATTACGATGTAAGTCTGTGCCCTATTTGGCCAAGAAATTTATGAAGCACTAGTCAATTAAGCTTTTAGTTAAGATAGGAAATGATTAAATAGATTATTATACAAAAGATTTATGTGAACTTTTATCGATAGTTTTCGAAGATCAAACATCAAACCAAATGCGGTCAAGTCAAGGGAAAATGCAAAATGGGAAATATTGCTTTTCAGTTAAAACTATAACCCCTTTGTCAGTCTAAGCCGTTACGCCTTAGTAACACTATATAAAATTGCAGCTAAACTTGCAACGTATTTGTACCAAACAGAACTATTTATCTCGAGAGCAAAATCTGTTATCATATACAACATACAACAAAACCAGCCCAGTTAACCAGCAGTCACTTGATTGCTTTCTTTTTCACTCTCATTATTTATACATTCTGCTAAACTGTTGCACCGTATCAAACGTTTACAAGGCAAAACTATATAGAATTTTGTGTTTTTAAGTGAATATGCGCTATGGTATACATATAAACTTGTTCAAAAACAAAGATGACTTTTTATTTTTTTCCGCCTGAGTAGCCGAAGGCGAGGAATCTCGACTAGCAAGTCAATGGTCGTGGGTTCGAATCGCAAGTGCGGTAGAGTTTTTACTAAAAGCCGATAGCCTTTGATGCTAGTGCTTTTAAGAGTTTAGTCTTAGAATTTATTTCTCTGGCGAAATTAATGATAATAATAGTAATAATATTTTTTTCGATAAATAATAGATTTATTCATCCATTTTTATTGTCTCCCCTTCAAAGTGATCAAACTTGTGTCTGCGCTTTTCCCAATCCTCGAAACACTTCTCAAATTCGAAAATCGTCTGTACGTAGCCCAGGAAATTTAAAAAGTTTCTTTTTTTTTGAACACTTGTCTATGTGATTGGTTCCTTCTGGTTAATGCATTCATTTCTAATTGTTCCATCAGGAAACCTAAAATGGGCTTGCGACTATCGAAACTTTTGTGAACTTTTGTTGCTGTAGCTCTTCATGTGTTCCCTTCCAAGGCAAGGCCAATCATTTATCTAGCTGGCTAAAAGTAACCGATAATAGGGTTAATTGAAATTTACTCAAAAAAATCATCGAGAAAGTCCAGTGACAGATCATTAATGAAACTTGTGTGTTATCATGGACTAAATAATAAACAAATTTGTGTTTCAAAATTTCTCCAAAAAACTGATATTGAAATGTGTGAAGACAAGAAATGGCGTTAGGTATGAATTTATTTTTAACTAATTTATTAGGTCGAGTTACAAGTAACTTCCGTTTTTCCCGCTTTTTCCTTTCATTCATTTTCACGAAATTATATTAGCTTAACAGTTGATTGTATACTCAACCTTTTCACTTTACCTCTTCTTGACTGGCGTGGGCATGCTTTTAAAAGGTTTTCGCAACGTCCGCCTTTTAAGGTCGCATCTGCAGAACGAAATTTTTCAAACAAATCTCTAACTGCCCGATAAATTATCAGTTCTTTACTGTATGCGCGGAATATGTTTCCAGCTAACACCTTAGCGTTATTGTCTCATTTAAATTGCCAAAACATTACATGTCGAATATGCATTTTTTGACTCTCCATTCGGAGATTAAGAGAGACATTTGCATGCACCACGTAACACAGTTGACAGAAGACTCCTCATCTATGTAGCGCAAAACAAAAACTTGTATGTTTCGATCACAACATAAATAGGACGAACAATAGATTCTACTTACCTGCATCGCAAGTTATTTATGACTCGACCTAATATATCGTTAATTAAAATGAATTTTAACTGAACGTTAGCTATGTTTTCCATTATTCAGTTAATTAAAGAGTTTTTTTTTTTTTTTTTTTTTTTTTTTTGTAAATTTACTCAGTTTTATGATTTTTGCATTTCATGTGCTTTAAGAACTGGGGGACAAAAAAAAAAAAACCACTTAATAGAATTAAACAATTGTTGTTAAACATGATAAAGTTTTTAATTTCACTAGTTTCTCTTTTGCTTTTGTATTTTCTCCCTCATTATATCGTTTCATTTCCTTTGTACACAATGTGGTGACACTCCCTTGTAAACTGTTTAACGATCAACTTTTTATTTGTACAAAGTTGTCCAATGCTATGGCTACGGGGGTGTTGCCTCATTATCTTCGTAGACATTAATGTCGCTGACTTAGTTTTAATATAAGATTTTCATTTTTGTTGTACTCTTCTGCTATTGTCGTGAAATATGTTAATGTTTGAGTTGATTATATTAATACTGTCGGTTGGTGACGGTGGTGGTGATGGTGGTGGTGGCCACTCTTTCTATACATATTTAAATTGTATGCGCAATTAATCAGCTCAATGACATTTTATTTGCTTTATGGAAATTTAGCGTAATGTTATACCGCAACATTACCGTTTTTTCTTTTCTTTTCTTTTTTTTTTTCTTTTGCACTACTTTAAGGAAATCTTAAAGAAAATGTTTTATAAACTTTAGCGTTTATTAAAATTCTTATTCAAATAAGTTCACTAAACATTATATCCTTTTCTTCTCTTTTCAGGTATGTTCGTATGATTTAAGTGCATAACTATATGTATATGTAGAAATCTTAGGGGTAAGTTAATAAGACTTCTCTGGTTATCAATATATTGATGCATGCAATGCTAAGGGTTTTGTACTAATTTTGAAATTCTGTTGATTGTTGGTGGAGAGTACTTATGTTTTCAATGATGGTAGAATTTTAGATTTACTATTTGAATTGAATAACTTTTTATATACTACAAGGCTTTTGCAGTTTCACTTTAACGTAACATATATATTATATAAACAAAATAATATGAAATGATGACATAGAGCAATAGAAAGTATTTTTCTACAGCTTTCGGATGTTTACCTTTCATCTATGAAAGAGATTAACCGACATGACTGGTAGGGAAAAGCATAAGTGATAGGGAAAAGCTGCCTACATTTATAATAATTCAAATAGAAAAGCAAGCTGTAGTTGATAGCATAAGTTGGAAAACCTTCTCAAACAAAACAGATAGCAACAACCAAACTGATTGAGAAAGAACTGCAAATCTCAAAAGTATCCATAACTCGATTACAGGCTTTAGCTGGAAAATAAGTCAAATAAGGCGTATTTCTATAACTATTTACTAAGAATTCAATTTGTTTTAAGATTTATTAAAAAGAATTAAAGCGCAAGAGACCGGCAAAGATCAGCGATACATGCCCTACAAAAGCTAATACAATTTTCATCACAAAGCACGCACGAAAATTACATTTTGTTCCCCTTACTCACTTGTTCACTTTTCGTGAGAGTCTTCGTAGAGGTCTGGATTTAAAATTTAGATTAATTAGCCTTGTCCAAATTTAGTAAGTTTTTCTAAAAGCTTTTTTTTATAATGAAGATTGGATGATGATGAAGGCTTACTGGTCATGAGAACGAGAAAAGATTCGAAAAATAATTGTCTATAGTCCAGCCCACTAAATTTGTATACTGAAAAAAACATTTTTTAACAATTTCAGTTTCATATACTATAATAAAATTTTTCTTATCGCTTTTTCCTATAAGACAGTTTGTACGAGAAAGGACTGAAAAATTTCCGAAATTTTTCTCAATCCACTTGTCTTTCTTTCCAAAGTGAACTCTCTACATAGGAGGAGGAAGTCGAAATAATCCAATAAGACTTATTTTCAACTAAAATCAGGTTAACGTAGAGAATTTTGTTGATAATATTACGCTTTCATATGATGTTTTTCGCAAAGTGAAGCTCTACATAAGAGGAGGTAGAGAAAATGGTCCGACATGAAGTAGACATAATGGTCCAGGGCAATGTAGGCAATTTTGTTGACAATCTCTCAACAATTGGGACTTTCAAGTTGAACATGGACGGACGGACGGACGGACAGAGGAAGGGATGGACAAATACGCCATAATTTGCAATAAAGAAAACGATTCCCAATGAATTGGCGTAAAATACAATGTCGATGTATTTTAACTGCTTTTAAGTGTCTGTGCATGGCATTCATAGAAACTCACTTATCCTTACCACAAGTTGTGTACGGTATACAAACACGCAATAAACTGAAATTAAGAAATTTATATCTGACTTGGATACGATTCGTTAATATCGTTGATCAAAATTAAAAAACACTTTGTAATCGCCCTTCATACATATGTAGATGATTTCGATAGGACAGGAAGAAATATATACATTAGAATAGATTTATATTCCATTATGTATCCAAATAAAGGATTTATTTAATTCATAGTGCTTGTAATGCCCACTTGCAGGCATATCGAATTCTTGACAAATTTAACATGCCTGTTACAACGATAGTAATAAAATTTATTTCACTTGAAAGGCTTTCGTTTAAGTTATTTCTTCCCCTCTTCTTATGTGCTCACTGAACCGTTTCCCGAAAACAAGCCATTAGTTGTTATTTATCACAAAAAGCCTAAATGTCAAACGATACACAAATCATTATCACGAATTGCTTTATTGAGGGCAAATCAATAGACATTAGCATAGTATACGTAAAACGGGGGAGAGACGTATGCGTGTATGAAATACATTAGCATATTTTTTTACTAGGAAGCATTTCTTTCATAGATTTTCATTTGCGTTATTTATGTTTCATAAAGGAAAGTATAACAAATGCTATCAAGAAAAAAAAAAAAAAAAGAAAAGAAATTAAATTAGAAAATATTTATATCCTTTCTTTGATATGAATCTTGAATATCCAGCACATATCGGGAATCACAAAGCTTGATATCGAGACTAGTCAAGCTTCTATCTCAAGTTTTATTCACACCGTAGACGATAAGCAGCGAATGAATGAACAAAGGAATCGTCTAGAACGACTTTCTGTACCTATAGTAATGGAAAAAAGACAATTTATTGGCATCGTGAGATTATTGGTATTCTTCATATTCTCTCAGCCTTCGATCAATTTAGCAAAAGTTAAGCATATCGTTATGCTTTTAAACTACACAAGTGACACAATAAAGATCTTAATGAAACTTATTCATTTGCTTAATATAATCATTCAACTGACGTTTCATTTACAACTTTATAATAACAAATACAAGATAAGATTATTTTTTGAAAAGAAAAAAAAAAAAAACAAGAGAAATCTCGTTTCATGTTCCTTAAAGGCATTTGAGAATTAAAAATTATTGCATTTGTTAACTTACAAAATACCAAAAATTGATGATAACTTTCTATGAATTTTAAGTTTCAATGAGTCGTCCAGATAAGCAATTTTTGTGATAGAAACAAAGGGTAGCAAAAAATGATCTGCTACTGCTTTATGGCTACAAAAGAAACAAAAATTCATGAACATTATTATGCTTTTGTATCTGCATATGAAAATGCACCAAAAACAAACAAAATAAATACTTTTTTTTTTTTAAATTTTTCCATTTACACAAATTTTCTACACATATTTTTTCAATTTATTTTAATTTCTAGGAAAAAAAAAAATATTTCTTCTCGTTTCCCCGAAGAGAAGAAGCAGTTCAGGATTTTGATTTTCTCTATGCACTTACAAAAGTGGCCTGATTGTTGTTATTATTATTCTCTTTGTAACATTTTTCATATAAACATCTGTGTTGGTGAATTAGTATGTGGTGCTCCTGTGCACTTTTAAACTTCAATATTATTGGAAACGTGACCTGCACACTTAAATAACTTATTTGTGTATGTATTCTCTTAGAATTCTTGTTTCCTCTCGGATAATATATATATATATGTACTTCTTGGACTTACAATATTCATGTTTTATATTGAATAATTTAAAAAGTATTGAACCTTAAAGAGATTCATTTTTCATTTCACTCCAAACATTTCATTGACATAGAGGCTAACTTTTTGAATTCATTATTATTATACTCAATCAAAGGGATCGAAGGAATCGCTTCAATAAAAGAATTACACTTAGACTTGGTAAGGACTCATTTAACCCGTCATGTCCTCACATCCTTGATTAGTGTTGGATACTTAATCGATTTAGCAATGTATGTCTGTAAACTATGGCCTATGGCTGGTAAACTCAATTATTGGGCTCACTATTTTGACAGTCTCTTATATATTACTTAGTAGTGTTGCTATTATATCTCCATTGCTTCGCCCTTAGTCCTTTTTATTTTTTATACATTTTTTTAGTTCTTTTCTTTTCGTAGGTATTACTTGGATGACATTTCTGAAAAAAAAAAAAAAACATGCAATATAGCACAATGCTCTTCCCCTGGTCATAGGAGGAAGCAAAAGTTGAGAAATACAAAAAAAAAAAAAAGAAGAAAAAAGTGATTTGATTTTGATATAAGTGCCTGAAGTATTTTAGTCAGTTTTTTTTGCGTCTTTTTGGAAACTACTTACAGCATATAAAGTAGATAACTAAACACTACAAGTTACGCCGAATTTTTGATACTTGAGCCAATCAGAACTGCTTTGGTAAGCCAATGTGAAAAAACGGAATAAACTTACTACTGTTCGCTGGTAACGACTGAAACGATTGCCCATTAAGACCGAGGAGTACCGAATACCATAAAGCGTAAGATGATTGCCCTCCGATCTTCACCTTCTCTTGACAATGTATGCTGAGACAAATATGAAGAAGGCTTGGCTCTCTATATAATACAAACTAAACATGCTACATATGTAATCCGCAACCCGTATCTATGTATACGTATGTATACAGCACTTACCTTACATACACTGTTTTGATTTTTATTTAATTGTTTGACTTAATTATTGATCTTATTCCGTTATGGTAAGGTCCCTTAATCCAGTCTGGAAATCTTGACATTTTATTTAACTTAAATCAAGGGCTTGTTCTATGGATGAAAAATTTACATTTCTTTGTACCTGGAATTGTTTTTTTTTTTTTTTTTTTTTGATTTACAAGAACTTGGCATGGCGTTCGACAGGCTACTTACGCTAAAGGGCATTCTGATGCTGCCAAGTTCGATCACGATTTCGAGTTTGGTCTGAATATTCTCGAATTTTAGGTTATAACCTAAAATTTCCCTGATCTCCACTTTTTATTTGAATTTTGATTTTAAGTTGATTATATGATTTGACCTTGTATTGCATTGGTGCCATGATTTTTTTTAACGCAGACGAAGAATGCATACGAAATGTGAATAAAATTCTTCTAGTCCTAGTTTTCTAAAAGAGATCGAACGTCTATAGGACATGTGTAATTTAATGCTTCCCGCACTTGACTTAAGCATTTGACATTGTATATAAAGAGCCAAAAAGTAATGTTCACCCTTCAACTAGCCATTCAATAAAAATTCTCTATATATTTAGAAAAACCAATGGCCAGGAAGACTTACAGGCACCAGGGAGCACCAAAAGTTAAAATAAATCCTATAGGTGTTCTATAGCTGTGAATGCAGTCTATATAAAGCACATTACCCAATAAGTTCTCATTTTCAAGGCGAATCCCTATAGTAGCAAGTTTCAAACAAAATGTAGGAGAATTTCATGACATTTCGAAAACTTCATAAGCTCTCGAAATGATCGCAAAGAAGGAAATATGATTGAGAAGAAAGAAATGCAAGTTTTTGAAATGAAAGGAGAGAGATTTCTTTAACCAAAATATAAGGCGTGACATGATGTATCAACTCATGAAATTTTCTTTTGGAAAGCATTCCTTCAATCATTTATTTTTGTTCTAAAAAAGTTCGGAAAACTATATATCATGTGCCATGTGTCATTATTTGGCCTTCACTCTCCTTTCTATGCTTTAAAAACTTGCATACTCTCTCCATTCAATCATGTTATTTTTACTTTACGACTACTTACTTTAGTTCTTTTCCTTTTTTTTTTTTTTTTTTTTTTTTTTTTTTAAGAGCAAATGAACTAATAAACATAATATATCATTTATTATATAGGTGAGTATAAAAAATGTAGGAAATTGTCCATTTGTCGAACACATTGGCACGTTTCTGGTTAAATTTTATTTGACTTTTATTGGGTTTACAAATTATTTGTTGATGAGCTTATACTAAACATGTACACATACATGACCGGAATGCTCGTTTTATATGCTTAACTCTTTACATCAGTCTTAAGATATGTATGCCGTTTGTGTACATGTAAATATAATAACCATAACTTATCATACAAAATGTTTGCAGAGTTTCCTGGGTGTGTAGAGTTCGTAGTAAGAGTAAGAAAAAAACAATATCTGGTTATCAGGAATGAACAAAACATCACAATGCTTATCACTTATCATATATATCGACAAGTCAAAAATTTGAAACTTTCATATGAAAGGGATGGACTAAATAAGGCTTGTATTTATTCTGGAAAGATCCAATTAATATACAATAGAAATAATTAATAGAATATTAGTAGCTATAGTTTTGTCGGATTCAAGTTATTGCCTTTATGTGGCAGCATTTAGTTATGATATTTTTGATTAAAGTTTACTTGGCTTCCTTTGCTTTGTTTTTGTGCTTAACAAGGTTAAATTGTAATTTTAGATATATTTTTAAAATGTTTTTCGACAAAAAAAAAAAAAAAAAAACAAACTTCATATGCGAGCAGCATGTACAGCAACACTTTACCTTTCTCTGTATGGTGCGCGAGTGCTCTTTAACTTATATAACAATAATAATAATAAACGTATAGAATGAAAACATAGAATAACACAACGTAAATAAATTTCATGATAAATTTTGTAAAATAAATAAATTATAATTGCTTGCCAGAGTGCGGGAGAGGGAAAGACAAAAGAAAAAGGAGAGAGGAAATGTTTGAAAATTCAACTTGAAATAATTCATTTCAAATTGTTACAACGGCACTTGACAATATTGCTGTTGCTATTACTACTACTACTGCTACTACTACTACTACTACTACTACTACTACTATTGCTCTATCATTACAAGTATGTATAGATATATGTATGGATATTTGTGTTTGTATATAAGCGAATAAGTATGAATGTTTGTAGAAATAAAAGCACTCCAAAAATTTCAAACAGCCACACACACATACATATATTCTAAAATTGCACAAAAGTCTACACAGCAAATGGCAAACAGCAAAAGAAGCCAAAAAAGCAACGTCAAGCAAAATAGAGATAGAGCGACAGCGACAAAGAGATGGAGAGAAAGAGAGAAAGTTACACAATAATATTAGTTATGCTGCCATAACTTTTTCGAGTTTTACACCTAATGGCACAGTGTAAATAATTTAACGGAAAATGTACGCTATATATACCTACATATATATATATATATATATCCATACATATACACTTCAACACAATGACATGCCGATGCAGAGTCATACCCTTACATGCACAACGTCATTTATGCCCTTTTACATATATATATATATATATATATATATATATATATATATAGTGTGTGTGTATACAAACATATATACACTCATACAGTAGCAAATGTTCACTGCCATTGCTATTACAAATTGCATAATTTTAGTGACATTTCCGTTAAAAAGCTTAATGTCGTCGCACAACATGCAAATAATATTGAAAAATATGCCAAAAATGTAATTTCTGGACGGTAGAGGAAAATGCTCCATCTACGAAGAACATTTTAAATAAGCTTTTTCTTTGAACAATAATGTAAATATTTCTCTTAGACTAAGTTCAGTGCAGCTGGAACCATGACAGGAGAAAATTTTCCATGCGGTTGTTTTAAGAAAACGAGAACACAAAAATAAAATATGGAAAATTTTAAGCAAAATTAAACACATTGTCTTCGTTCTGGCAACAAGTAAAGAAAATCCATGCCATTCGAAATCGTCATTAAATGTAAGTAATCGTTTACTATGAAACTCTGCAATACAACTTTCTGAACACAAAAACTTTTCTCTTCTCTTCGCTGCTCACGTTACAAGCACACAAACGGCCAATTTTGAGCGAAGAAGACCCGCACCTACCCGTTGTTAAGGCGTGTAACTAGTTTCCTTCCCTCACCATTTTTCTACTTGCCACACTTGTATGTGTGTAAAATCATGAACAATTTTAAATAGGTCTACAATTTATTACACCAATCGATTGCACATTCATTTTCCTAACCCAGTCTGCTTGACGTCAATGGGTAGACTGATATTTTATGTTATTCTCTATATTGTCATTTTTTGGCCCAATGGAAAATGAAAAAGTCATCATATCGAGAAAAATGTTCAGTATGACTATAGAACTCTATTCCAGAATAGTGGTTCAACCTGCAGATTTATTGCGATAACGTGGGGTTGTCTGGTTTCCTTCTTCAAGCCGACTTCCATAGATCGCTTTCTATGTAGAAGAAACTTGCACCAGGGGAACATAATTATAATTTTTAGTATGACGAAAGAAAGGGAAGACTCTTTCTCGACAAGGTGGCGGTTTAATGGTCGGGTTTCTGTCTATAACGTTTTAAATGGTTTTGAAAAAGGGGGGATCGCAGCCACCGGCACATTGAATGGTATATTAAGAGCTTATGACTTTATCGATTTTAAACATAAGGATTTATAGGGTAAACAATTGTACATAAAGACACCATTACTAAAAGAGTTAGAGAGTATTTTTTATCTCTCTTTATGAAGAGTCAACAAAGTAGAAAGAAAAAGTGCCGGATTAAATGATGAACCTTGAGACTTGCTTATCAAATACACACCGAGATTGAGTTCAACTATCTTAAATGTTAGTTCAGCTTAACTTTAGAATTCTCCCTTCGGTGGAAGCACAAGCCGATAGCGTCTTCGATTTACTAAGGTTTGCTAAGCTTCCAATCGAAATCAGAGGAATAAAGGAACAAAAATTTTAGGACTGTTATAAATTGAACTCTCGGCTCGTTGAAGGAAACGTTTTGCTTTTTATATCCTCCTAAGATCTTCCTCTTAGATCAAGATCAGGCTTGTGGTGTGTCAATAATTTCCTCTCCTCCTTCCTCCTTCCTCCTTCCTTGCAATTCAAAAGTGGCTGCAGGCAAAGGCGGACTATCAGAAATGAATGAAATCAGGATTTTCGTTTAGACATCCTATTGATCATTATTTTTCAACTGTGAAAGGAAGCAATTGGTCGCCCGATTAAGCTAACTTTAACTTAATCTAAAAATGCTTCACTGGCCAAATCGGTTAACTCCATTTTTAGAATTTTATTAAATTTTAATTTCAAACCACTTCATTAGCTCCTAACTGTACATATTTAAAACAAATTTCTCCGATAATAAGTAATAACACCACTAAATGACAAAATCGTTTTGACTTCTGAATAATAAATAATTTATTTATAATATTTTGTCATTTTTCTCAACTTCTTGTTTT